GAAACCTCAATGATTAAGTTAAATGGCCTCATCGGCTCACAATATTTAAAAGCATTTTCCTCGGTGTGTTCAAGCTGTTTCAAAGTTGATTTAATCCTGGCACTTCATAAAATGTGTGTATCCATTAAAGCAAGAAGATTTTATTCATGTTCAAGGGAAATCTCTGAAAGGGATGGAATAAAACTAAATGCATGGAAACAGACCCAAATCTGGCAATGGGAAAACACAGATGTGCAGGTTAAATGCAAGATTTCAGGAGACGTGCCACCTTCCCCCACCAAATAAGTTTCTAATCAAATGCCAGAATGAAGCGTCAGAACCAGCCAAATTTCCTCCTTGGCTGCCTTAACTATTTAAATCATCCCTTTTTATTGCATCTGACTAGGCTGAGAACAATAATGGAAATGCCCACCGACTGATGATTCTGGCAATTTTGTGAATTATCACATAAAGTGAAATGCTGAACTACATTCCTTTCTCTGTGGGGCTCATATTCACACTCCTACCCATGCTCAGCACCCACAATGAGCCCATCATCATTACTGCCAACCCTCTGCTTGGCGTGACCATAGCCCCAAAACTATACTGCTGCTGATTAGACTGTGGCATGCTACTCATTCTGCATTTTAAAAGACTGAAAGGGGGAATAACCTATTTATGAAAATCATTTAGATTTGTATAACTCCTTCTTTCTTTTCTTCTTTTTCTTCTTTCCTTTCTTTTTCTTCAAGAAACTTGAGGTTGTTAGCTTCCATCAGGATTGTACTATAGCAACGAAATGACACACTCCGGAGACTCCCCATAGAATTTTTGCCTATGGCCCCCAGGTTGCAAATTTTACTTACTTTCCGGGAGGAAATGAGCTAGGTGTGATGAGATGACTAAGACAGTAACTGGCAGACATCTCAGATTCAGTGATGGGAGTTATCAGATTGGAAGCATTTAGGAGGCACAGCACGTCCTGAAAAAATTTCTAAGGTTGCCCACTCAAAAAAATAAGAAAAGGAGGGGGATGTATTTTGGAAGATTTCTTGCTGCAAAATTAAAAGCAGTAGACATGAACTATAGCTCAGTGAATGGGGAATTGTACATCGTTGAGGAAAACAAAATGGAGGGGATGTGTCAAAAGTATAACAAACTAGAGAAAAAAATGAGGTCAAAATTGTTGATTTGTTCCAAAGGCATTGCTTGAGCACCTACTACAAACCGGTCTCCATGTTATATGCTGATCATATAAAGATGAATTTGTCTTTGTCCCTTAGCTTGTGAAGCTAATCCTGGTATATTAAAATGTAAAGAGATTAGTTAGACAGTAGTGAAAATGCGTCCAAAGTTGGGTTAGTTACTTTCTCTGTACTCTCGGGCTATGTCTTTTGTATGGCAATTTCTAAAGGTACTAAAGGCATTGCTTTTTTGGAGGTAGGCTGCTAACAATCTGGACAGTAAACCCACACATTATTTAGGAAAAAATTTGAAAATCGTGTGATGTTCTGTAAAGGAAAAGAAATATCTGTAGGGACTGCTCTAACTCACTGAAGAACTCTAGATTTCTGCGGAGCTCCCTTTCAGTAGCAGATGGGTTTTTTATATCAGTATTCCCTTGCCCATCATTTATGAACGCACTACATACCATACACAACTCAGAAATTTCTTTGTGCTGTTACAGATGTTATCAACCCGCTTAGCCTCCTTAATCCTCCAAAATCCCTTAAGAAATATAGTTAAACCATAATTAACCAATGTTTTCTTCATAACAATCCTTCCAAGAAAGAAAGAAAGAGTGAGTGAGAAAAAGATAAAGAGAGAAAAAAAGAAAGAGAAAAAGAGAAAGAAAGGAGCATAAAGAACAAGAGGGTTATTGCAGTCTAAGGCACTGAAAGATGGCAGGGAAAACGATTAGGAGCTTCAAGGAAAGAAACAAACTAAAAGGGAACATAATTATAGTATATTATTTGACTCTGTAGTGGGAAAAAACGTGACCAGTACAAGAAGATACAGTCATAGATACAACCAAGTATCTACCCTGGGGGGTGGAAAAAGAAGTGAGATAGTGTAAAACAACAAAATTCTTATCATTATATAACATAGTAAATAGGTGATGTCTAAAATTATTAAATTGAGAAATGTAAGTAGAGTAAAAGAGACTATTTCAAATTAAAAGGGGATTATGGACCCAATGCATGGGCTTCAATTAGACAGACCAGCTACAGAGGCCATTTTAAAGACCACTAGGGCAATCTAAGTATGTCCTAGGTTTTATATATGATATTAAGAAATTATTGCCAGATAAAGAAGTTGTGATACACGCGCACACACACACACACACACACACGATGGAATATTATTCAACCATAAGAAACTAGGAAATCCTGCCATTTGCAACAACGTGGATGGACCTTGAGAGCATTATACTAAGTGAAGTAAGTCAGACAGAAAGACAAATACTGTATGATCTTACTTGCGTGTAGAATATAAAACAAAACAACACAAAAACCAGACTCATAGAAAAAGAGATCACATTTGTGGTTACCTGAAGCAGGAGATGGGGGACAGGGAAATCAGAGGAAGGTGATCAGAAGGTTCAAACTTTCAGTTATACGATAAATAAGTACTGGGGATGAAATGTACAATGACCATAGCCGCCACTGTTGTGTGATATATACGAAGGTTGTTAAGAGAGTAAATCCTAAGAGTTCTCATTATAAGGAAAAAATGGTCTTTTTTTGCTTTCTTCTTTTTCTGTAGCTGTACGAGATGATGGATGTTAACTAAATTTATTGAGGTAATCATTTTATAATATATATAAATCAAGCCGTTATGCAGTACACCTTAAACTTATACAGTGTATGTCAATTATACCTCAATAAAACCAGAAAAAATGAAAAATGTAAAATAAAATGGATTATTGTCATTTTTGTTAGTTGTGATAATATTTTGGCTATGCATAATACAGAATGCCATGATAACTTTATATAAAGTACATACGCATTTTAAAATACTTTACAGTTAGATACACAGCAACATTTAGAAAATCTTTAGACTTTTCTATTTGATTTTGAATCTGTATATGCATTCCTTGATTTTAAAATGTGTTTAAGTAATTTTGATAATATATCTCTGGATTAGTACACATTCAAGCCCTGCTTCCCAACCACCATTGTATCTTATAGTTAAAATTAATCTTTTCAAAGATGACTCTTGTTTTGCAAGATTCTAAGCTTTTAAAAAACAAATTTAATTATATTCAGTGTACTTTATTTAATTAGGCAAGAATGCAGACTAACAGAGTTTTAAAGAGTTTTTCATTATAAGATTGAAACAAAAAAAAGATTATGAGCTAGGGAATTAAATTAACCAAGTATTCGGGTTGGTTAACAGGCATGGTTGGTAAGCCTCAGTCAGACTAAAAATGCGTATCCTAACTGACTGTTGTGGGATAATGGTTAAGAACATAGCAAATGTGTTCAGAATACCAAGGGCACCCCTCTGTCTCTGTGATACTTAGGGTAGGGGATACTGTGGGCATGACCTACTTTAAAATGGACAAGATAAGCTTACATTTCAATAATAAAACTAAGATTTTTAAAATGTATTTAATGGGGCTGGGTGGGGGGGGCGCCTGGGTGGCTCAATTGGTTAAGCATCTGACTTTAGCTCAGGTCATGATCTCAGGGATCTGGGATCAAGCCCCACACTGGGCTCTGTGCTCAGCAGAGGGTCTGCTTGGCCCTCTCCCTCTGCCCCTCCCCACGCTCGCATTCTCTCTCTCTCTCTCTCAAAGAAAGAATGAATAAAATCTTAAAAAAAAAATTAAATGTACTTAATGACTAAATGACTATTTAATGACTATACCAGAGAGAAAAATACTTCCAGAAAGATATTTCTGCCTAAGAAGCATGTGACGCATAAAGTAAATATGGATTTGGTTGGTTGACTAACACTTTCATTACTTAAATCTCTTTTGCATTAGACATAAGTAAGCTTTCTTAGGTGTAAGGCTTGATAGAATTCTTAAAGTATCATATGAATCATAGGAAGAAATGAAGGGTCATCTAAAGAAAGACAACATTACATTATAGCCACACCCTTCAGTTCATTTCAATGTCATATTAACACAGTCGTATTTTAATGTGGTGGGACGGGTATTGACATGTAACTAATCCATTTAATTGGTTGGTTTTAATTCATGAATCAGTGTCATCAGTTACTAATCCTCCACTCAGTAAATAATTGCTGAGCATCTATATGCAGGTATATATATCCTAGGGACTGAGAATACAGTAGTAAGCAAGACAAACATGATCCCTGTCCTCATGGAGTTTACATTCTAGTAGGAGGACAACTCTCAAACAGGAATTGAAATGAAACAGAATCAGTGTTTTGAGGGGAGAAGGAGAGGTAGGCCTCGAGAGCACATAGCAAGGAACCCAACCATGCTTCTAAAAATATCAACCAGGCACTTCGCAGAGCTCTCTCTAGCCCACCCCTTCCTCAGGGTTGAAAATCCGAGAGTAAATACAGAATCCCCAGTGACTGGTGGCTATGCAGGAATACAGGACTGTCACAGTTGAATACAGGATCCTTCTGCAGAGTGCTGTCTCCGTTAACAACATAGTTTATGTGGCTCGTTTTCCTGGTAAACTCTTAGTAAACTTGTGTGCCAAAGTAAGCTGGATGGGGTGCTTGCCAGAATTAGGGACATTGGGTTGACCTTGTGGATAGCTCTTCAGACAGGTCTAGGATCTGATGTGACCCTGCTGCTAACCTGAATGTAGATACCAATATTGTAGCACCCAGTAATTGCAGAGAGACTGTTAGCATGAATCTGGAATACCTACATTACTTCCAAGCATTTGAGTTAGATGGATGGGGAAGGACCAGCTAAACAAATTGTGGAATTTCTAACTGTAAGCAAAAACGTGGGTCTATCTTGTAAAACGGATTTGCATCGTATTCTAAATAACTGTTGTGTTTTGTTGTTGTTTTTTTTTTAATTTCAGAATGTCCTCATTGTTGAGGTAAGCTGACTTTTCTTTATCCATATTTGGAAGTTGAAAGAATCTAATGGTGAGTTTTGAAATAGCACTTATTATCAAATTGGTCAAGGATTTATTGAATTTCCACTGTGTGCATGGCTCTCCAAATTTACTAAGAGCTAACTAGAATCAGTGGCCTGAAACAATTTAGAATAAAAGCTTTGCAATCATAGTTTCGTGGTACTTTATCCGTTTTTATGTCTAATTTCACGCATGTCTAAATTGGTTCTTATACCTATTTGCAAATCAGGCATTTTTTACAGAAGAGGAAACCAGCCCCACAGAACCAAATATATGTAATAGTAAAAGCAAGGTTTGAACTCTTTTCACCCTTGATTCAGTGTTCTTGCTAATGACCCCTAAGGACTTCAAACAATTCTACCTTCAGCAACCAAATCGTAAATACAATCAGTTTTCAAATGGCAATCCAAGAGAAAGCTATAATTTAATTTAATTTTTCTGCTAAAAAAATTTGAGAGCGAACAGGCCCTGTGGTAGCAGTGGACTTAATACGGCACATGGCCACTTTTCCTTCGAGAGCACGCCTATCTTATCAGCTGGCAAGAATTCAAGGGAGCTGTTTCAAGCTTTTGTTACACGGTTGCCCGTATGTGCCATGTGTATCTGCAGTCCTCCCGGCTCAGACATAACCCAGGAAGTAGACCCTCTAGCCAAACGAATTGCCCAACCCTGGCTAAATTCAGACCTGTTGTTTTGATAATCAGCTCCTGACAGCTGATTTCTGTCCCAAGGACAATACATTTCTGCTGCCCATTCTCCTCTAATTGTACAGCAGCTCATCAGCAGAGACGAGCCGAGGCTCACTGCAACCTTGCACCCGCAGAATTCACAGGCTGTCACCAGCTGCCGTCCAGACACATCTCACTTCCCAGCCGTAGAATCCCCTATTGAGTGGGGAGGGCAAGGGGGAGGTGTTTATCCATTCAGTGCATTCAGATGTACATCCCATGTCCATGAAAATTCATGCGTTCCGTATTGTGTTGCATAACCTCAGGGCCAAATTTAGTCCTTGAATGTGCATGCATGAGTCCCAATGTACTCAGTGAGCATCCGCACATGCTCTCCAAAGGTCGAACTTAGCTTTCAACACAGCTCAAGGATTCCAAGAGGAAATATTCACCAATATATTCCCCTAAACCCAGTTTCCGAGAGAAGCACCTGTCTAAAAAATGTAACCAACCCTGCTTCCTATTTTGACTCCATCTGATGGCAATTCTAATTATGATGCATTATTAATAAGGCATACAATCATCTGTCTGGATGCAAAGTCTATTATGCTGCCCAAATGCGCTCAGTTGAATGTGTCTGTCCTCTTTGCAAAGGATGTTGTTGGAACCGGGAAGACCATGCGAGCGCTGCTCAGTAGCATAGAGAAATACAAGCCCAACATGATTAAGGTAGCCAGGTGAGTAGGACATTCACGTCACTGTTGTTGCTTCTGTGTGTCCAAATAAGCCCGGGAGGGATGCTAACACAGGATGTTTTCCCCAAAGAGAGCAGTCTATTCCAAACCAGTGACCCTGTGCCCCGGGGTGTTATGGCTTGACCACACTGAACAAATAGCCCATTTGATTGCTAGTCTGAGACAGAGGAAGAGGAAGAGTACATGCTTTGCCGGGTGCCTGAGCTTCTCGTTACTGTGCCTCCATTTGTAGTTTCCAGCTGGCGGAGCCTGGTGCCAGTGCCCCTCTCCCTTCCTTTTATCTAGAATCACTGATGTGGTGCCTTGGTAGCAGGAGTGTGAATTAGGGGCCCGGGATGGTGCCCCACATGCCGGGGAGGTGGGGGGAATACATATTTTAATGATGTTCAGTTCTATTTGCAATTCACAGTTTTATCTGGATCACTAAACACTTTTTTTTTTTTTTTAATGGTAGTTTGTTGGTGAAGAGAACACCTAGAAGTGATGGCTTTAGACCTGACTGTAAGTGGTTTTGGTTTTGGTTGGTTGGTTGGTTGGTTGGCTGGTGGTGTCATTTCACATTGAAGAATCTCTGGTTTCCTATTTGCCGGCATTCCGTGTGAAGCAGAAGCTGTAAAGATTTCCTAGTCCCACAGAGGTCTCCCCAGCCTTGCCAATGGAACCCTTTACAACAAGGATAGAACCCTTTACAACGACGGTTTTTCATTTCCCAGTTTGCGTTGTTCATGGAAACTCTATCGTGTGCATTGGATATTTTTATGTTTAGGTTTTCCATAGCACCTTAAAGCCAAAGATCTCAGCTAATGGGTTTCAGGGGGTGGAGGGAGACTTGACCCCACCAGACTGGCTGACATGCAGGATCCCTGCCTTGGCCGCGGCCCCTGTCGGTCAGACCCGGGAAGGCACTGTAAAGGCTTAGAGGGATTCTCATACTGTCTCCAGGAACCGTCACCAGACAATGCTCGATGCCGACCGAAGAAAAGTTCAGTAACACAGAGAATTGGCCGAGCAGATATCTTCAGAGACCAATCTTTGTGCTTGACTTCCTATGTTCTGGAGGATTTGGCTCATCCAGGGCACTTTGCTACTCTCCTCCCCATAATATGAATAGTTCCAATGCCAGGAAGAGTAAACAAGCAGCTTGATTATTTATTATTCTAACACTAGAGGCGACTTTTTTTCACTCACATAGGCAGACTTCAGCTTGATTTTTATAACTTACATTTGCTCTAAAGCCTCTGGGATCATTTGGCTACAGTTCTCATCAGCAAGCTGAAAAAACATCAGAGCAAGGGAAGCACACTATGGACGGGTAATATGCCAATGACATTTCGCAAGTGACTCTTTATTCTAAAAACAAGTTTCATGTATTAAATCTAGACAACATCAGTGCTGGGCAGATAGACCCAACAACATGTCCCCGTCCAGTTACTGGCATGGGGAATATAATCTGGATGCAGTAAGGTTAGGCGAAGTTAGTAAACAGAAATCTCCTAAGGAAATCATGGAAGATCCCACAGAGATAAGATTTTAACTGAAATTGAAAGATTCACTTCAGACATAGCCAACTAATTACAGATTATTTGTGTCACTTACAGCAACAACATGAATAAAATAATGGCAGGTAACACTCGTAAGAGGTTACGATGGGCCCTACACTCCTTTCTAAGAGTGACGCAGAGATTAACACATTTCATCCTTACAACCTTCATCCAAGGTAGTTGCTCTTGTTATGCCCATTTTACAGATGAGGAAATTGAACACAACAAGGTTCAATGGTTTTCAAAGGTCACGTTGTTGTAAGTGTAGAGTCAGTATTGAACCCAGGCAATCTGGTTCTGATCACTGCCTTACTCTTGCACTACATCTGTAAGTAACATCAGCAAGTAAATGCACCCATTCTCCAGCTAGACATAGGTCACTCTGATTCCTAACTGTCCCCCTGATCTACCAATCCAGTGTCCTTCTTTCACTCCCTAACAGTCCTGAAGGTTTGACCTTCTGAACTGGCTTTGCCAAGTCTCCGGTGCCATGCCTACTGTAGGCATTGCTCTGGTTACTGTGAAGTCATTACTGTGGTGACAACCCGGGTTCTCTGGGATTTACTAATATCCTTTTAGCTGGTTCAGAATCTCTGTTTCTTCTCCCTGGACTTCTGAGGCTTGATACTTTTGGTTCCTTTCTCATAACTGATTCTTTCCCATATGCTCCATGACATCTTTTATATGCTCTGACATCTTTTCTTCTGCTCTTGCTTCTCCTCTTTGATTATTTTTCTCAAAGCAAGGGACAGTGTGGAGGGACCAAAGGGGGTCTCTATCAGTGACATATAATGCAATCCTCTAGAAAGTAAGTCCCTCTCCTCTGGCACTTTCTGCAAGAAGGAACCAGTTGCCTACTCCATGTGAAAGCATCTTTGGTCATAGGAATCAAAGTGGTGGTGAGTGGTCACCAGAGGGATAACTTTCTCTCCATGCCGTAAGTCCATTGGCTATCCCAAAGAACAGTTTCATAAAAGTAAATGAGCACATCTCTCCTCTGCAATGCTCTAATAAACAAACAGATTCAAAAAAAAGTGGAAAGAGTTTGAAAAACCATTGGACCATAGGCACATTTATTCTGTTTCAAGACTTCTGAAGAAGGAGCGCTACTGTCTGTTCCTTAAAGATTCTTTTCCATAAAAATCATCTTCTTTTCAATAAACTTTTCCTTCGTTTAACCTAAGTACCTCACACTGCATTTAAATCCTTTTACTCCCATTCCTCCTGCAATAGAGATTGAGAGCTAATTAATGCCATCTGTCTACTGGATTCAAAGACTAGTGTTAGAATAACCCTTAGCGTTCTGTTCCTCAAACTGAACAATCCCACTTCCCATCATCTGGTCTCCCAGGTTTGGCTTCCCAGCCCTTTATCCAGCTGAGGACACTGAGCGCAGTGGGAGAATGGGTTCCTAGTGATGACAGCCTGCGCACCTAGTCATGTAGTACAGAATTGGAATACTTCTGTCTGAACTGCACTTTATGCTTCCCAAGTATTTCCTTTGGCATTATAACATTGGATACTGCTTGCTTTGGAACTGCAGGGCTACATGACTAACTCATGCATATTTCTTGCTCTCCCCCAGGCTGATTGAGCCCTTTCTCAGCTCTGTATGGTAGGAGTACAGCCGTTCTTCCTTGTATGTTTGCTTGTCTCCCTCATCTCCCTGCCTAATCACTGTGGTCCAGGTCCTACTGGGTTCATCCTATGCATTGCTTATCATTTTTCCCACTTGCTTCTGCTTAAATGAAAGGTCCTCACAGTTTAAGTGCCAACAATAGCATATGGTGGCTTTCTACTCATGTTATCTACATTATTCCTTTTTTTTTCTCTCTCTCTCTCTCTACTCAGATGTTGGATTTGAGATTCCAGACTTATTTGTGGTGGGTTATGCCTTAGATTACAATGAATACTTCAGAGATCTGAATGTAAGTCATGCATGCAAATCCCTAGCCTCCTCTCATAAGAACTTAACAGCTATATGAATTTAACAAATTATTGAAATAGTAGTCATGATGGCTGCCACTTACTGAATATCTTCTGTGTCAGGAATATTCTGGGCACTTTGCATTCATAATCCCAGTTACAGTTGCATGCAGTTCATAACTATTCCCTTTTTGGAGAAACTGTTTCAACATATATACATGGACTCCCAGTGTAGACCCCCCAGCTGTGTGACCCTGACCAATGTTGAATGATATAGAGGTAGACATCTTACCCGAAGTGGACCAATCATGTGTGTGTGTGTCTCTCTCCTTCCTAAGAATTAGAAACTTAAACCAAAAGTCACAGAAATCAAGAGATTTTGGTCTTAAGCCACTGAATGGCAGGGCCCCAGAGAGAGTATCCACAAGCACCATGGGCTAAAGTCGGGAGCTACCCCATTCCGGCCTTCCAGTTGCTTCATTGTGTAGCTCTTTGGATTCTGTGAGCCACCTCATTAGCCTTGGTAGGCTATATTAGCCTATATTAACCTGACTCCACTTCTGTGCCTTGCAATCAAAATACTCTACACATTTCTTGCTACCCAAAAAAGATCGATTAAGAGTCAATGTTGTGTTTACCATGGCTATTTCTCCATTCTCCCTAGAGGTGATAATGTTACCAGGTGGAGACTTCTATCTCCACCATGGCTGACCATACCCTCCTTCAGCCGTTATGGTTGTTCCAGACCTAGGGAGCCAGATTTGGAATAGGGCTCTAAACTAGAACAATGAAGAAACTTTTTCAAGTATTCGATTGGGTGTCTTTAGATTTTATATACATGCACACACATAAATGCGCACACATATATTTGAATGAACAATAACCAATTATAAGATGACATTCTGTTATTACTGCATTACATTTTCTGCACTCCTATTTGGCTAAGAAACGGATTCATTTAAATCCTTTATTGTTTCAGCACATATGTGTGATCAATGAACATGGCAAAGAAAAGTACCAAGTCTAAAGGAGTAAATTCTCACCATCGAATCTCCAGATAACATCATACTTACGACTACAGTCGGAAAGCCAGCATGTAAAGTTTGTCTCCCCAGGCATCTTCACTCAGCAGGAGATAAAAGAAAAAAAAATGTTTTAATGAGAGAGCTTTCTTTTCTGAGGTTATAACATAAAGAGTACCAAAGGTTCTTAAGGAAAATAAGGCAATGTTTTTATTTGACTTGTTCCAAATTAAATACTCTGCCTTGTGACTCATGCGTTCTATCTACCTTTGCACTCCAGAACTTCACCTTCTTTTATTCCGATACAGTTATTATGCTTGATGACTATACCCCCACGTAGTTACTCAAATATTTTTCACTTAACTTTTTTTTTTTTTAGTATTCCGTTTTGGTAATATTTTGCAATCTGGAGAAACTGGAAGCCTTTTCAGTTAAGCTCCAAACTCAAATCCTGGGAATGCAGCTAGATTCCCATACCCAAAAAGGAGGGAAAGGACAATTTAATATAAATTTCTGTTTGCGCATTTCTGGCAGGCCATTACTATTTGCTTTGACAAAGCCTTTTTGAACTGTAGCATATAATGAATCTTAATGATGTTATGAAATGAGCCTCTGCTCAGTGCTGTTGATCTGAGCTTCCGGTATGTGATAACGGTATGTCATGTACACATGGATGTACTCAACTGTGTTTAATACTCTGAATTTTAATTAGAAAAAATACAATGGCAGCAAGGCCCTCGTTTCTAAGCTGCATCTTTTTATTCGTGTGGGACAGGAGCAAATGGCAGAATTCACAGAGTGGGAGGTTCAATTCAAAACTAAGCACGTATGAGTTTTTCCTCTTATTTACATCAAAGGACAAGACACTGTTACATATTATCATCAACACGAACACAGAAGTTGAATTATTTTTTTGAGTGGTCTTAGAAGACATCCGACATCCCTAGGCACTACAGAAAACCAGCACACTTAAGAAAGTTGTTTTCTGAATAACATTTTTTCCATTTCCACTGTTTTATGAGATGTTTTCTAATTTATGGGGATTTTAATTGAAAATAAGCTCGAGTGCCAATAGAACTGTTTTTTTCTCACTTCCTAAAAGGAGAAAATGCAAAATAAATAACTAAGCAGCTTTTGTTTGGTTCTGAACCATTTGTGGCATATTATTATCAGGTTCTACCTTCCTTTAAACTAATAAAAAATAAAAAACCTTGTTACGTTTCATAACTGCTTACGGTTTTTCTTCTGCCTTCATATTTTTTATATACTTTCAGCCATTAAAATGTGTGTGAGCCAGTAGCTTAAATACACTGCTGCATATATCTTTCCTGGGGCTTTATTTTTGTTAACCTGGAAAAAATCCAATATATGCACTACTATAAGCAAACGATTAAGCCAGACTTGATCTACTGCTTTTCTTTTTTTCTCTCCTTGTAAGACAAAGAATTTTAGTTGTAAAAGATTTTCCTGAATATCTTTGTTCCAGGCAGAGAAGAAAATAAACCACACCCAGAAAGTAAGAAACCAGCCAAGGGAATTCCTTTTAGCTTTGTTCCATAGAAGAATCAGTATCCAAGTTAGAGATTGATAATTTTTTTATTTTTTATTGTTATGTTAATCACCATACATTACATCAGTAGTTTTTGATGTAGTGTTCCATGATTCATTGTTTGTGAGATTGATAATTCTAATTGGCCAGTTTCTTGAATCATCAAATTCGTGTTCTAAATACAATTTCCACTGTGCCACCTTTATGTCAGAGACCTAGAAAAACCCAGATACATTTGATTATAAATATAAAATTATCCATAATTTTTATTGAAATATTTTCTTTAGAATGTTGAATTTTAACAACGTCAGCGTAATTTTTGAGGACTGTATGTTTATTTGAATTAGGAAGGAAGTTGATCTACTTCACAAGATTTTGAGAAGGACTTGTGCTAGCTAATGCTGAAAAAGAAAAATCCATTAAATACACAAGAAGTTTAATCATTCCTGCAATTTTTTTCCTATCACACAATATTTTGACAGTGATATCCAAGAATGTCATCTTGGGAAAAATAGTATTTCCTCTTCTCTTGTGAAACTCGAATCTATTTAATATCACTGAGTTTTTTCAATCCAGACCAAAAATGTGAAAACTCATAACCAGATTAGCAACCAATGCATTTATTAATTTGGTGTTCCAAAGCTGATCAGTAGGGGAAGAGGGAGACAAGTGTGTGATATGTTTTATTTGGATTCAGTTACAATAATTAGTAATACTTTTACTACAGTAATACAGTAACATAATCAGTAATACTTTGGGATATTCCAAACAAATTAGAACCCTTCATTATAAATTGGTTCTTACTTACTAGATTGGAATGTATCCAGTATTGAACCATGCACTCCCAGTGTGAACTGCAAATAGTCAAATCTTGATGCACCTTGTTTAACCTTTGGATGTCTTTGGATATAACATGGTTTACCATGTTTCAGCCCTTCTGAGACTATTAAAAAAAAAAAAAAACACCTTTCAGAGCAAAGGCAGGTATTTTTTTTCAGCCTCCCATGGGATGAACTTGTGTTTTCCCAGTGGAGAGAGAAGGTGACCTATCCCACTCCTAGAGAACTGGTGTCATGGAAATATTTCCTCACTTTTGTAATAGAGGTAGTATGTTCTAGGAAATCAAAACCCTAAATCACACTCCCCACCCAGATGTCTGGTTAATCTGGGCAAAAATAGTGTTTGGGAGTTGTCATTATTTTGCTATCATTAAGTTCCTTTGGGATCCCTAGATGACACTTGAAGGCTGGTAGACAGGCTAGTTTCAGGAGGGGAGCAAAGGGGTTGTGGAAGGGAAGTTTGTGCGTTGATGGTGGGAGGCATGTGGAGGAGGGACAGAAGGTGTATGTGGAGAAGGCTGCTTTGTTTCTTGGCCAAACCATACCCCAGGATTGGTTCTGAACCCCGTGGAGAGAAGGTGACAAAGACCCTGACTGAAAGAGCTGTTTTCATGGTAGCCTTTGGGCCACACACTAGGACAGACAAGCCTTTCACATTTCACTGAGGGTCATGCATAATCCATTCCAAAAAAAAAAAAACCACAAAAAACAAAAACGTTTTTGCCGTGTCTCAGCCCGAAGGACCCCCTTTTCTGACTTTTTCTGCCAGGGTGGGCTTTGCTCAGAGATAAGTAGGAGAGACCATGAAGACAGAGTGGGATACTGAAGTCCTGCATTTTCTAAGTGGGAGAAATAAGCCAGAACTAATGTTACTACGACTTTGTATCCAGAGCCTAATGCATGTTGACTAGTGAATAAGCTTCGAATGAGGATGGTGAGTGTAGATGACTCACTCAAGAAACCGGGCTATGAAGACCAGAGACACATAACCATAGCTAGAGGGGGAAAGACTTGTATATTTTTATTTACTGTGGAAAACAAAAAACAAGTGAACAAAACAGTGGAAACAGCAAATTCATTATCGATTGCTCTGTAACAAACCACTCCCCAAACTGAGTAGCTTAAATGAACAATAATTATTATTTCTCAGGGCTTATGAGAATTAGGAATAGGGAGCAGGCACTGTGGGGATGGTTCGTTTCTGCTTCGTGATGTCTTTTGCTTCAGCTGGAAGATTCAAAGGCCAAGGGCTATAACCAAGTGATGATAAATGGTCCAGTGTGGCAGCCATTAGCCACATGTACTTGTTTAAATTTAAATTAACTAAAATGAAATAAAATTGAAAATCCACTTCCTCGTTCACATTTGCCACATTACCACTGCTCAACAGCCTCATAAGGGAGTAAGTTATTAGCACAAACAGAGAAAATTTCCCCAATCACAGAAAGTTCTATGGGTAGCTCTGATCTGAAGGTTTGCCTGGTGGTTGATATATTGGCTGCTCGCTAGAACCTTAGCTGAAGCTGTCAGGTGGAATTCTTCTGTGTGGTGTCTCCATGTGGTTCGAACTTCCTCACAATATGGCAGCTGGGTTCCAAAGGCAAGTACGAACAGAGACAGAGACAGAAGTAGGCAAAAGCCATACTGCCTCTTATATGACAGGCTCACTTCCCCCACATTCTGTTAGTCGAAGCAGTTACAAAGACTTGTCTGACACTAAGGGGAGGGAACATAGACGGCCACCGCTTGATGGAAGAACACTGTAAGACGATCCAGGGGGTAGGATGTATATGTCTCTGGCCATTGTCAGAAAGCTGGAGATGAAATCTGGCACAGACAGGTTATTCCCCTGCACATTTTCCACTAATGAGATTAGTGAAGAAGCCGATTATGCAGTGGTCATAATGCATAATTGAAAGCACACCTGCTTGCCTAGGTTTTTAAGAATGACAGAATACTGGGGCGCCTGGGTGGTTCAGTCAGTTAAGCGTCTGACTCTTGATTTTGGCTCAGGTCATGATCTCAGGGTTGTGAGATCAGGCCCCCCCATCGTGGAGCCTGCTTAAGATTCTCTCTCTTCCTCACCCCCTGCTGCTTCCCCACCTCAAAAAAAAAAAAGACTACTACTACCTAGCCACATGGGGAATTATGAAATGATAAAAAGAACACCAGAAAAAAAAAAAAAAAAGAACACCAGAGTAGCCCACCTTGATTATAAAGGTAGAAATACATGTTTTCCCACTGGTAGTGTTTGGACCAGATTAAAAAGACTTTGAAAGAGCAGTTTTATTTCTTTATTATTAAGGTGCTTAAATTTGAAATATAAAAACCATGGTAAAATAGTTTTTGCTTGCCAAGTATTCTGTAAATGTAAATTCATGCTGAAACTTTAGGAGTAGTTCCATTTTTATAGGAAGAAATTGCCATATAATTTGGCCAAGAAACTAATCCAGAATGGGACTTCCTATATATATTTATATAACTGTATGCTGGAAATAGTACTCACCAAATCAATTAAAAACAACAAATCACTGAGTACTAACCAACAGGGATTTACGATGAAAACTGCTCTGTCCGATTTATCTAATCTCCTAATATTGAATGACAGAGCTGGTTGACTGGAGAAAGGAAGTACTGTAATTTGTCTTATCTTCATTTGAACAACGCTTTTTGTTGTGCCGTGTGAAGAATATCCATCAATAGCCTGGGAAAATGACTTACACTACCTAGCTACTGGGTAACTGCGCGAATCTTTACAGTTGTATTTAAAAGAGATCTAACAAGAGCGTAACAAAACACATTGTGAAAGACTGGAACCCAGACACTGAGTGTGTTGACATTTCACAAAAGATCTGCCTGCAACTACTGTGGATCATGCGCTATACAAAAACCTGATGATAACTCAATTTAGTATTTAGCATGAAACCCAGAGGTAGGAACTGCCATCT